CTTCATGCCCCCCTTCCGCCGCCACCGCCCGTGAGAAGGCGGAAGGGATGGCGGGTTAACCTGCCGCAGGAAAAGGTTAATCCGCAGCCGGGGCTCCGCCCGCAGCGCCTCTCACTGGGACCGGGTTCAGCTAAGAACGGGGACACGGTGTAGCGGGGCTGGTGGCACCCCCGGGGGGAGGGGACCCTGAAGACGCCGCGCCCTCCCACACCTGGGACCCCACCCCACACCTAGGACCTCACACCTGGGACCCCACACCTGGGACCCCACCCCACACCTGGGACCTCACACCTGGGACCCCACACCTGGGACCCCACACCCGGGGTCTCGGCTGGTCCTGTGACTCTCCTTGTTCTGCCAGTTCTCGCTCGGGGTCTTTCCTGAACTGTGGTCGCAGCGACACCTGAGCAGTGGGGTAGCCCAGTGGCTCCCAGCGCCGGTGTGGCCTCCAGGGCACTGACCTCCAGGCCACCACAGGGCCTGCCCGGCTCCAGGGCACAGCGTGAGCTCCGCTGGGTGGAAGGGTTGTCACAGAATTCGTGGCCGTGTCTTAAAACCACCCCAAGTTCTCAGCGGAGGGAGAAGTTAGAAACCACAGAGATTCCGTCGGTATTGTAAGAGTTTCTTATTCTCACCTTAATCAGAGAAAGGGGAAAATTAGAAACAAGTTAACAGAAGTTTACGCTCGATTGTAACAGTTTCCGTTCTCATCTACATTGTAGCATGCCTGCCAAGTTTTCTACACTAAGAATGTATTTTCTACAAAGAAAATATTCTTGAAAAAGCAACTGCGGCATCAACAGAATCTTGCTGAGTTGTGGTGGTTACCCATCTCTGAGGAGCCCATACAGCATTAGGGGCCAATTTTTTTTTTTAATTTTTAAAAGCTGCCTGCTTTTACTAGGTGTACCGGTTAGTAATGCGGATTGGCCCTTTACCAGTTAATGTGGATTTTGTAATCAAAGAAAACACAATAATTTCAAGAGAAACATCAAAAGTGCTTTGTTCAAAGTCATGTCCATCGCCAGCTACACATTCCCCCGTCTTTCAGGTCATTTGTGGAGACCGTCCCAATAGAACTTTTCTT